ATTATGCATTGTTATACTGATTCATACATACTACTATAAGTCTATCTATTTACCTAGAATTGCAAGTTAAAGTTTAAAAAAACCTATATTTAGTGTGACAAAATGTTGGTCTGGCTGCTGCCCAGTCAGCCAGATCTATTCCAGCACACGTGTAGTTAAAATTCATAATTCATGGGTGAAATTTTTTTTGTCTGTGAAAATGGCCTTCCTTGGGCATGATTACAAATAGTGATTTAAATTCAATGTGAAATAAACACATTTTGACTTTTATTTCTAACACTGTTCTAATCTTTATTTGTCTAAACTTCCAACTATTTTCATTTGTGCAAGGAAAGGGCCATAATTGATTAATTCAGTGATATGTTTTTGTTTTTTTATATGGAGCTAATGTTTAAAAAGTTAATTGGGTATTCATGTAAAAAGTTTGAGGTTGGTCTATCTGGTGATATTACAAGTTGTAAATGATTCCTGGATTTTTTTTTCTACAAACTCAAGTTAAAATTTGATTCTGAAAGTTGTCCAAACAGGCACAGAATACATTTACAACTCTAGTGCTTTTGGGTGTCTCAGTGACTTCTAAACTCTCAATGAATAGATTTGTTTCAGTCACAATGGCCATTGGACACTTGTACTCATGTTAATTAGAAAATCTGATTTTTAGCAGTGTTTACTAAAAGCTTGCCAAATTTTGTGAAAATACACTAACTATGTTAAAAGTTATAATATATATATATATAGTTTCATGGTTATATGGTGGTTGAAAGGTTGATCAAAAAAATGAACAAGCCCATATAGATAGGGTAGATCCTCTAACTACGGGCCTAGATCTTCTGTGCATGTCACATTTCCCACAGTTACATTCAAAATTTAAACAACTTTGTTATTAATGTATGTCAATAGAATTAAATTAAAGTGTAGTTTATAATTCAGATTTTTATATTATCTAAGTTTTAATTTATTAATTTCAAATAGAAAAATATTTAAAAAAAATATCATTCTTCTTTTCTTTTTATCACATGATACATCTGCATTTTGAATTCTCCTCTTATTATTTGAATAACTTGAATAATATAACAACTACACTATCTGGCTTATCCTAGACACAGTCTATAAAAAATTCCAAGGTCAAATGTACAGGTTCAAACTGCAAACTTTTTCCTGTAGTGAGAAATAAATATATCTCCTCAACCCATCACAGAACCCTTGCCCAATTATGAAAGCTATTTTAAACTTCAAGCCTTCAATGGTCATTTTTGAAATTGACATCAATAGGCATTAAACTAGTATATGATTTCATTAGGTACATGTTAGTAAGTGGGTTGATGTTCATAGCATTTAAAAATGTTTTTAATTTAAATAGCTTAGTTAGAAAACCAGTTAAATTATAGTTGTTTTTGGATAGTCTGCTTCAGTATTTTATGTTTTAAAATGCATAATTAAAAGGTAAGTTAATTTGTTTGACAAAAACTTCAAAAAAAAAATATTAGGCTTATTATGGGTGTATGAGTTCAAAGTTGCACATGCGTGTATGTAAGTGTATGGACATCTGCTTATGTGATGTGTTGCTCTTTTGGCATGAAAAAATTGGAAGTTATGTAGAAGCCAGATAATGAAGTTATACTATTAAAATAAAATATATGCAAAAAGTTGAAATTCTGAAGACAATGAAATTCAAGATATGGCAACAAATAATTTAAAGAGTATTGTTCATCTTAATTCCTAATTTTCAAAATTTCATATCACTGTACATTGATGATTTAGCTAGTCAGTTTTAGGGTATAGAAAAAAGATAAAGTATGAACTTTAAAAACTTGATATTTAGAAAGCTTTAGATGTTAAGGAAATATGAAAACTGGAAGATGAAAAGTATTTTTATTCTTTAGAATAAAAATCACCTTGCAATTAGATTGACTTAGTGAAAGCTTTGAAAATTATGACAAGTTTTTACTGTAAATACTTTATTAAAAAATCTGATTTTTTATGTATAACAGTATTACTTAAAGCTTACTGCATATTATAAAGATACACAAAGTACATTCAAAGTTGTAGTATGAGAAGCGATGGGAAATAATTTGTATACATGTGTATGCTTTGACTTTATTAACAAGTGAATCATTTACTTGTACTTTATTTGAAAAATTTTCTTGTTTTATATTTAAAAAAAAGTTGAAAAAGGCCATCTTGTAAAAAAAATACTTAATTTAAAAAAAAATTTTTTTGTCATTGAAATATTGAAAAAGTTATAGTTTGTTAGAATTGTTATTGACCACATTTCACCATTAAGAGTAAAAAATCTTGTCACATCACACTTTTTTTAGTATTAAATAAACTATCACATGATGATGTAATTTCTGAATTTGTACCTGTTTTTTGGTGTGTCGTTTTGTTGTTTGTTATAAATGGCAGAAAGTTAGGATCTTATGTCAGATTATTATGCTCTAATTTCATTAAGATAAAAACTTTCTTCATTAATTTCAGGATTCTATGGCTGGAGTAGAGTCTTTGATAAGAAAACATGATAACTTTGAGAAAAAAATGTTTGCCCAGAGTGAAAAGGTTGACCAGTTTGAAAAATCAACAAAAAAACTCTTAGATAATGGTCATTATGATGCTGATGCAATTCGTAGTAGGTGTCGGAGTATTTGTCAGCGTCGAGATAAGCTTAAAGAAAATTCTTCTACAAGAAAGAAGCTGTTGCAAGAGTCAAAGCAGTTTCAGCAGTTTTTAAGAAATGTATACGAAGTGAGTTGTTTGAAATTCTTCACTTAGTCCTTTATTTTGAAAGTAAGCATGTCTAATGAAGGTGGATTGCCACGTGAATTTGAATGTTAGCAATATGATGTGTTGTGCATATATGTGTGTTATAAACCACACTATGTTAACAGATGTACGCTGTCAGACTATAATTCTACAGAAGATGTCCTAAAATTTTGAATTTCACGTAAATGTAAATAATAAAATGTTAATGCTTCTGAAGAAATAAACTTCAGTACCAGTTAAATACAATCAGTAAAGGCAACTAAGAAGTTACGCAATAAAAGTCTTAATATGTTCAAATATAGGTGTCTAGTTTGTAATCATCCAGAGCCAGCACAACATGTTTTGCCACCCTGCATAAATACTGACTGCCTTGCCAATCTCCCAACAAATTTTCTGTGAACCATCTGTATGCAGCAGCAGTATTATACTCTAGCTGTATGCTTTGCTATAGAACACCAATTCTGTCTGACAAGGGATTTTTTAATTGTCCAGGGAGTAGCTGGTGACCAGAAGCAAATTTTTGACTTTATTTTTGTCACCTCTAAAAAACCTGCCTCCTTGTGCAAATGCAGTAACCTATCAAGAAGGTAGTAGTTTACACATCTAAATTGGGAACATCAAGGAAAGCAAAATAAATTAATTAGTGCTGTACAAAATATTGTCAACATCTTACAAATTAATTGATCAAATGTTAATTATTGTATCCATAGATAAATACCTCAACCATACTAAATATACTGTTATAAGAGATGTGTGTGAATTAAAAGAAATATAATGTGTTAGTGTCTTCATGTGAAAATTTAATTTTGGTTTTGATGTTCGTGTTTGTGGTATTAGTTCACTTAGATATTAATGTTTTTTTCCTTTTTTTAAGTTGATTTTGCTTTAATTTGTAATGTTCATTTTCATCAGAACTTAAGCCTGGCATTGCTTGGTGGTTAGGGTGCTTGACTCGCAAGTTCAAATGCCTGTCATCAAACATCCTCATTCATTCAGCTGTGATGGTCAGTCATATTATTTATTGGTAAAATGGTAGCCCAAGAGCCAGCAGTGGATGGTGTTGACTAGCTGCCTTCCCTCTAGTCTGTCACTAGCACAAATAGCCATTGTATAGTTTTATGTGAAATTCAACACAAACCAATCAAACAATCTTCAGAACTTCAGATTGAATAAAATCTAGTGTATAATATCTTAATACAATATCCTGAATGAAATGAATTAGATTATTATACTTTTAGAGACTTGGAAATGCACTAATAAAAATACAAAGTTGAATTAGAATATACATATATATTTTTTTTTGGCTCATCAGGTAGATAACTGGATAAATGAGAAACTTCAAATAGCTACGGATGAATCGTACTTGGACTTGACAAACTTGATAAGCAAAATCCGAAAACATAGTGCATTTGAGGCTGAAGTAACAGCCAATAAAGATCGTATTGAAGGAATCAAACAGGAGGGTGAGAACATGCGAAATGTAAAACATTTTGCTTCAGATGAAATTGGAACTCAGCTGGCAGATTTAGAAAACTTCTGGAAAGAACTTTTAAATCAGACAGCACTGAAAAAAGAAAGGCTTCAGGATGCTTATCAGGTATTTGAAATATCATATATTAATAGTGAACAGAAACCTAGTACTGCTTGAAGGACTTATGAACAAACATATTATTTGTGACTATATTGTCTCATAATAAAGGCCTTTAAAATACATTTTTTGTAAGAAGTGACACAAAGATGTACTTTTTGATATTGTGTATTTTCTTCCTATAATGTTTGGGCTAAGTTTATATAATGAATTATAATTTTAAACTTAAAAAATATATATGTATATGTGTGTGTATACATATGTTTTTATATATATATTTTATTTGACAGTATTATGTTTTTTTTTCTCAGTATTCCTGTGTAGAAACAAAATGTGAAGTGGAATAAGCTGCAAAGAAACCATGAATAATTATCTGTTTTTTTACAGGCCTTACAGTTCTATCAAATATTGGATGACTTAGAAAAGTGGATGGATGAAGTGGAAACTCAACTACAATCAGAGGATCATGGCAGGGATCTAACAACTGTTCAGAATCTTTTGAAAAAACACCAGGTTTGAGCTTGGTTCTTTGGAATTCTCTTAAATATTCATGTCTTGATGTACATAAAAATCTTTTAATTTTTAATATGGGGGTTTATCCAATGTTTACAAAAGGCTTCACTTAGTTGTGGTTTAACTTAACCTTATTTCATTTTAAAGAAAGTATAATATATTTATATGGATTTGTTCGGACACTGATTTTTAGTAATGATTTTATACAAATTCTCAAATCTTTGCTGAAGTTTTGGATATATTTTAGGTTCTGGAAATATGTTTTTCAAGGAAAACTGTAGATAGCATAAATATGTTTCAAGTTGAACATCAAATTGTTGCCATAGTTTCACTTTTTGTTTTGTTTTTAGAGCTCTTGCATTCAGTGTATGCTTAGTCTAAAATGTTAAAGAATTTAAATTGGCACACGTTAAATACTAGGGTAAAATTATTTTTGAATTTAAGAATTAAGATAGTGCTATAATTCTACACTTCTGAACCACTTAATACTCTAAAAAGAAAAGTAACATCAATAGTTTGAGAAATTTATTATGCCTAATTTAAAACAAGAACCTTCCACAAAACAGCAGGTCAAATAGTTTCTCCAACTGCTGCAACAACACTCTCCACATTTTAGGGCTGTGGGTGCATTGTAAGAGTGATGGTTATTATCAGTTAAATCCAACTATTCCATTAGAGTAACATGAGTTTGTGGTGGGTGTTATTGACTAGTTGCTTTCCCTCTAGTCTATTAACTTAATATTAGGGAGGATAGCACATATAGCCCTCATGTAATTTTGGGAAAATTTCTGATTCCTATTTCAAAATATTGACATTTACCAGATAACTTTTACCTAATGGACAAGGTATGGTCCCATTGAAATATTGTTTTTATAAATTTGTGCAAGATCAAGTTATATTGATAATAGATTACATTTTTCATAAATTCATAATTCATGAAATTTTAAAGGGACAAAAAGTAGCTTATTAGCCCATCAAGGATGTCCCTTCCAGCACCAACTATAACCACTCCTTACTACTCATGTATTCATCCAATCTTTTCTTGAATTCAGTTGAATTTTCTGCCTCCACCACCCTCGAAGTCAGCTCATTCCAAAAGCCAACCACCTTATTTGAAAAGTAATACTGTCTAAACTGCAAATGACTCCTACGGTACCAAAATTTGAATTCATGAATTCTCTGTCTATTATTTTCACTGCTGAACACAAAAAAAGTTTGATGGATCTATATTATTGATACCCTTAATAAGCTTAAACACTCTGACCTTTCTCTTCGGAGAAAACAAGCTTAGAGATTTTAGTCTCTCCTCATAGGACAATCCTACCATCCTAGTAGCTCTTCTCTGAACCTTCTCCAACAATTCAATGTCCTTCTTGAGGAAGGGAGCCCAAAAAAATGAGACCTTATGAGTGATCTATACAGTGAAACAGTAGTATCCCTTGTCTTTATTTATTATTTCTGTAGATGCTACCCAAAATCCTAATAGCCCTATTGCTAACTACAATACACTGTTTAAATGACATAAGTGATTTTTCTATCACAATACCAAGATCTTTTTCTTCAACCACAGTATTTAATGTATTCCCATATAAATTGTAACAATAATTTGAATTGTGAAAACTTACATGCATCACCTTACATTTTAGATAGTTAAACATCATCTGCCATGTATGCCCAATGCATCAAATGAACTAAATCTCCCTGTAAGTCTGCAGCATCTTTGATACAGTTAGCCACTCCAAAAATCTTAACGTTATTAAAGTGTATTTCTTAAAATAAACACTAATTCACCAAAATTGATGATATTAAAGAAAAGAAAAAAGTTACCCATGTTGTAAAAATAGTGATACTTTTGACAGACATTAGAGGTGGACATAAATAATCATGCAGACAACATTGAGCAAGTGAAAGAACAAGCTGAGAGTTTTGCAAGTAACAACCACTTCATGAAGGATGAAATTAATGAAAAGGCTCAAGCTGTTGTGAACAGGTAATAAAAATAAGCTAATCTACAAGAAAAGTTTTAAACTTTAAGTGAAAATAATATTAAGTCTGTATATAAACTACCTCTTATTTAAAACTCTGAAAAAATACAGTTTGAAAAAGTATAGAAAATAAAGAAATGACTATTTGAAACTATGGTAATTGAGTTGCAAATTAAACCAACACTTTGAAGCTTAAGTGTAAAAAAAAAAGTCAAAATTAACACAATGATTTTAATTTTTTTAATTTTATTTTCCTTTCAAGTTATTATGATAAAGGTGATTAAGTTTCAGAAACAACTTCTAAGTGAAGCTGTTAATTGTTTTTAGAAGAAGAACTGACACTGACCCAGCAGATTGGAAATCCTTTTTTTATTTTCAAACTTAACCTTAACTTGTAAAATATTAGTTTATAATTTTAAACATATTACTTTTATAATAAAAAATTAGTGATCTTAAAAATGGGATGAGCATACCAATGTGGCTGTTTTACACTTTGCATTTTACCCATGCAAGATTCAAACCCGAGAGTACTCGCACTACAGATGAGTGCTCTACTAACTGTGCTATAGGGTTAGCCCACTAGCAATTGCTAGCAAATCATTTTTTAACTGTTGAAACTACCACACTAGTTGTGAAGTGAGTTCAGGAGAACTGCTTCGATTTAATATAAATAGTTGGATACAGTTAATTTTCATTTTAACTGATTGCATTTAACTTCACTATTAGAGAATTATTCCCTAACAGGTACAATGGACTTCACGAACCTGTCCAGATTCGACGAGAAAACTTAGAAGAATCTCTGTTACTTCAGCAGTTCCACAGAGATGTGGAAGAGGAACTGATGTGGATTGGTGAAAAAGAAGCTTTAGCTTCATCAACAGATCTTGGAACAAGCTTGACATCAGTTCAGAACTTACAGAAGAAACATCAGGTACATTATGGAAAATGTAGCTAGAATGAAGGTTTTACATTTAATCTTTCTTACTATAGTAGTAATAAAAATATAGTTTATAACTGAAAGAAAAACCTAGAAATGATTCCTATTTTAAACATTATTGAAACTGTTTTTTTCATAATATTTTTAGTAAAGATTTTGGAATATATGACTTATCTTAAGGTTTTCAACGGCTGTTAAACATTTAGGCTATTCTTGTGATTATTTACTGTGAAAGTTTTATGAAAGTACATAATATATCCAAATTAATTGAACTGACTTAATTGTATGAAAAAAAAAATGTGCAAATGGCAAAAACCTATTAATTATATGTTTAGAGACCCCTGAAATAATACTAGATAATAAATAAGTACCAAAGAAAAATATCACATATAAGTAATTAAAAAACAGTTCATTATATACGTATATAAAGGAGTAATAATGGGTTACGTTTTGCCTTTAACATAGGCCTAGCTGGACTTAAGAAACCCCCTTAAGCCTAAAGCAGATGTAATCAAACTTTGCAAGGAAAATCAAAAGAGGTGTCATCAAGTTGTACGTAATAAATGATACTGTAGATCAGTGTTTCTCAACCACTGGTCTATGAGACTTCGTAAACAAAATATCATGAAAAAAAACAAAAACAAATGAAATATTCATATGTTAATGTTTTTTTTATACTTGCGTTTTAGTTCTTCACAGCATTTCAGGGATGCAGTGAGCTGGTCTCTATTATTAAAAAGGTTAAAAAACGATCCTTTAGATACAAGGATATAATAATTTATTAGTGTGTTGTTTTCTTTGATGAAATTATAAGATGTGTATTTAATGATTCATCTTGGATATTGTACAAATACTTTCAAACATGAAGATTTGAAAATAAAACTATTAAAGGAATTTAAGGTTCTACTTCCCAAGAAGTTTGATGAATCAATTTACATGAAAACTTTTTGGAATTCCTCTGTGTTTCTGGACATTGTCAATATTTATCTAACTAGTTTTGAAAGTGCATAATGCTTATACACATTGAGTAATCACACAAGTAATGGAAATTACTCAGTCATTTAAAATGAAAAAAACAGTTGTGGAGAAAGAAATTTTAATGGTTTTTTTAATTATAATTTCAGGCCCTTGTTTCTGAAATCTATGCCCATGAGTCCCTTATTTTAGCAGCTGCCAATAAAGGTCGACAGATGATTCGTAGTAATCATTTTGCATCACGTGACATTGAAACTCAGATACAACAGTTACATGCTAGCTTTGAACATCTTCAAGACATAGCTAGTGTTCGTACACTTCGACTGCAAGATGCACTGGAAGCTCAAATGGTAAATTATTAAGTGTTTATAGACATTTGAAATCAAATGAAATACAGTTGACATTGGTCAAGTGTGACATCATGATGAAATGCCTCAACAGAATTTATGGACTGTATTTATTTTGTACTCATTTATTTGTTTGTTTGTTATGTTTGTCAGACAGATGTACTCTTTACAAATAGGTATGTAATTTGCATTAAAAAGTTTAACTTAAAAAAGAAAATATCTACCAGTTTCAGCAAAATCTCTTTTCTACTAATGTATTTTTCAGAACATTGGTATAATACAATATGGCTAATACTGCCTTATCTAGATGTTTGTTCACACAGTGAGGTTGGATTGGTGTTTAACAGCAATTAGAATATTAAAGAAAACATTAACTTCAATGAGCAGATTAAAACAGTTCCACACTGGTGATAGATACATATCTGACTTTAAGTTAAAAGGTTAAATTTCATTTGTTTTTTTTAAGACATTGCTCAGTAACTCTACAGTTTGAGTGTTTTTGTTGTGTATTTAATTCTCTAGTTTGGATATAGCCATTCAGTCAGCATCTGTAATACTAATGAATATACAATATAAACAAATACAGTAGTTACAAGTTGGCTTAGGAGTAGTAAAATTAAAAACATCTATAACATCCAACAAAACATTTATATTTCTTCAGAGTATTTTGTGCAGTTATGTATTTTTCTTATATTTTTATATTATAAAACTGTGTTCTTAATGTTCGCACTTATTGTCAAAGACATACACTAGAAAACATAGGACCCATTCTTGATTCTTGTCCAGATAAACTGTATAAAATGTGTGTTGTGTCTTTATTCTGGAGTAACAACTTCTGTTGTGTAACATAAGTAATAGAAATATTTAATTTTTCAGTGTTAAATTGTACATTGCTGAAGACAAATACAATGGTTAAATTATGTTTTGTGTCATATTTTTTCAAGTTTTACTCTGAGGTGACTGAAGTGGAAACTTGGTTGAATGATAAGAAGCCTTTGCTGACAAATGCTGACGTTGGAAAGGATGAAGACTCTGTGGAGGTATTTACTATCATTAATTATCCTTAAGTTGTACTTAAATGGGAAATTTAATCATGCTGGTTGAAAATTCTTACTGTAAATATCCTTCAAGAATGAATCATGTTAGTTCAAACTTACTGGAGTATCCTTTGAGTATGAATCATGCAAGTTCAGACTTAGAGAAATATATTTTGAGTATGAATAATGCTAGTTCAGATTTACTGTAAATATCCGCATATTTAAAGTAAGTATGAACTAGTACAATTCATACCTGAAACATGTTTACAATAAGAACTTTCAACAAGCATGATTCATACTCAAATTTAGGTAGGAATAATGCTAGTTTGAAATTCTTAAGATGAATATCCTGCATTTGAAGAAACATTTATGAAGTGTACTTTAATTCTCAGTTTTAATTTATGGGTTTGAACCAACTTAATTAATATCTGTCAAAGCTATTTTGATAAACATTTGTATATTATGTTTTCAATTAATTGTATTTTTATTGAACTAAGATAACAACATTAGCTTTCATTTTCCTTTATTATATTCTAGATATTCATGAAGAAACTGGATGGGCTTCAGAGAGATGTCAAAGCCTTCAAGGACAACATAGGAAAAGTGGAAATTAATGGTCATAAGCTGATTGAAAGAGGTCATTTTGACAGTCAAAACATCCAAGAAAAATTGGTAAGTGATTTAGAGTGGACAGTAAGATTTAAAAACAACACACAACACAAAATTAGTTTTGTATGTTAGTTTTGTTCCTTTTGAATATTACATTAGCTGAAGAATTAACTGTTTATGTTGTTCAGATTAAACAATGCCTACTCACTAGTGATTTGCTAAGCTGCTTTCATAAATATTGTTACCAATGTACTTTGAGATTTACTGCCCACTCACCAGTGTATTTTAAGCTATTCTCAATCTGCTTTAAGCTGTACTCTTATTTTACATTTAAATATAAATAATGGTAATAAAGAGGGTGATCTGAAATATAATATTTGTGATTAAACAGTCCTTGAAGAATGTTTTTTTTGCCATACCTGATATTCATTACTAAATGCTGTTTCTGTACTTATTAATGAATTTTTTAAAGGCATCTATTGATACACAATATAAACAACTAAGAGAACTTTGTGAAGAGAGAGAACAGCGACTTCTGGAAAACAGGGAATATCTGGCATTCCTGCGAGAGGCTGACAAGGTGGAACTTTGGATTGAGAACCAAATGGCAATTACAAATTCTGATGATCTTGGGAAAGATCTTGAACATGTAGAGGTGAGGTGATATTTCAGTTGATTATCATTTGGTGGTTAAATTTAGGCCCTGATGAGTTAAAAGAGAGTTCACCTTCCTTACATAAGTTATGCAGTAGTTGGGGATTTTTGTATCACTAGTCATATAGTGCAGGATTATAGTTTAACTTCATAATTGGCTGGTTTTTGGTTTACCCTAAGAAAAATTAAGATGAGTAAAAAGTCGTGCATCTACATATATTTTGTAATATAGCTTTTACCAATGAAACTGTTCTTATTAGCATGGTGCTGTGTCTGATCAAGGAACTGAAAATAATAGTTTAGTTAGTTTTGTGAATTATGTATGGATTACAAGATTCTAAGCCAATCCGATTCACCCTAGAAACTTTGGGATGTCTCCAGGAATTATTGAAAATGTATCCAATTGAACTTTTAATGACCCAGTCAGTCAAATAATTATTGACTGAATGAAATAGTTTAGCCTTTTTAGCATAAAGAATATATTAAAATACACACTTAAGTTTTCACGTAAAGTATTTTTAAGTACAAGATTTGTGCTTACTGTAGTACAGAAATTTTGTGTATTGATAAATGGGTAAAATAATAAGGGTGGAGCCCACCAGTGGCACAGCAGTATGTCTGCAACTTATAACACTAGAAACCAGGTTTCGATACCCGTAGTGGGCAGATCATAGATAGCCCTTTGTTTAACTTTGTGCTTAATAACAAACAGCAACAATAAGTGTAGAAATGATTTTTAAAAAAAATATAAAAAACAATACTCTTTTTATTTGTGAGTTTGTTCTCATGTTTGCTAGTTACTTCCATATTTAAATTCAAATAGCTTCTTAAGTACTTTACTTTTCAGTGACAGATTATTTAGGAAACAATTTTGAATGAAACTTAAAACGTAATAGGTTAGGCTTAGGTTTTATTGGAAAACATTGTTTGATAATTTCCAAGTAATATATTCAATGTACAAAAACCTTAGCATTTCAATTTCTGTATTTGGTTAGTGCAGTAGCAAATGTAGTTTGAGGATTTTGTTAAAATAATTAACTCCTTCATTCAGTTTCTCAGTGCATTTACAAAAATGGTTCTGTTGTGTTTTACTTCTTTTCAGGTTTTACTACAGAAGTTTGAAGGGTTCCTAATAATTTTGCATTCAAGTGTGGATCGAGTGACGAAAGTGAAGGAGATGGAAGAAAAGCTGCTGAACAAGAGGTACACTCAGGAAGTTCGCATCAAAAACCGTAGCAATGAAATTAGCCAGCTTTGGAACAACCTTGTTGAATCTGCTAACGGAAGACAAGAGGTATGATGTCATTATAATCTATCAAGATGTAGAATTTTGTATTGTAACAAGTTGGGCTGTTTCTCTAGACTATTCAACACTTCCATGTAAAGCTGTAATTAGTAGACTTTCAAAAGATTTAGGCTGAATTTGATATTAGAGAGAAAAATATTACAGAATGAGGTATTATGAAGAATATTGATTGTTCATAATTCTTACTGTAAGCACTTGGAACTTATGAGGTGGTATTCCCTTTGTTCATTTATTTCTGAATAACAACTAATAATAAGTAGAAATATTAATTATGAAGAAAATACTTTTCAGTAGTTTGTTTAGTCTCATGTAACAGGCCAACTTGTAGTGTTTGATTTAAGCTTTGAGCAGAATCTTCAAGTTCCATCCTAGTTTTCAGTTTAATAACTAATTTGTTAGATCTATAAAAACAAAAAATTCAGGTAACATTTAAAAAGATAATTTTTATAACTGTTATAAAGGTTGCCATAAAATTTTTTCTAATTTCTTCTTTTTCTCTGGATTTTCCCTTTAGCAGGGGTCTTTGTTCTTCACGTGTGTTGCCTCTTTATTCATTCCAGGTCTTCTGCAATTCCTTTCTCATTCGTGTTTCATTTAATTCCATCTTTCCAAAGCTTAATTGGCCTTCCCTGTCTTCTCTTGCTGGCTACTGACAGCTCTAATGCCCTCTTTATTGCTTCTTCTTCTTTTCTCTTTAAATGACCAAACTACTTCAGCCTTACTTCTCTTGCTTTTTCCTCTATTCCACAGACATCTGCTGGTTCCTTAATTTCCTTATTTGTTTTCTTTTCTTTCAGTGACACTCTCAACAGCCATCTCAGCATTTTCATTTCTGTTCTTATTAACAAGCCTTCTTTTTTCTTCAGGGTCCAAGTCTCAGCTCTATAGAGGAACACTCATCTAATCACAGTCTTATACACTTTGGCTTTCAGTGCCCTTGGAAACCTTTTGTCACAGATGACTGTGGCTACTTCCTTCCATTTTTTTCCAACCCACATGGATTCTGTGTCTCACAGTGGGCCCGGCATGGCCAGGTGGTTAGGGCACTTGACTGACAATCTGAGGGTTGCAGGTTCGAATCTCCACCCTACCAAACATGCTCAACCTTTCAGTCGTGGGGGCATTATAATGTGTCAGTTAATCCCACTACTCATTGGTAAAAGAGTAGCCCAAGAGTTGGCAGTGGGTGGTGATGACTAG